TATGTATGTGTGTGTGTATATATATATATTTATACCGATTAAATTAAATCGAAAGATTAATCGTTTGAAAGAAAAAAAAAAAAAAAAAAAAAAAAAAATAATAACAAGAAGAAAAAGTACAGAAAAGAAAAGAAATGAAAAAGAAAAAAAAGTGCATATTAACGTTTTATACGATCACTCTACGCGCTATGTATATATGTATATATGTATATAGAAAAAGCTTTTTAAAATATATATATTAATGAGAGCAAATTAGGATAAAGAAAACGAAAAAAAAAAGGCGATTATAATGAAAATTAATATATCAAGCGGCATTAATTTTTGCATGCTACCGTTACGTTAGACTCTGACCACCATTGGATATTATATATATATATATATACTTGTGTGTATAATTATATATATATTTTTTTACTTTTAACCTTCCTTGCACATACTTGCATGGATTTTCTTTTACAATGTGACTTTCATTTACTTTTTTTTTTTTTTTTTTTTTTTTTTTTTTTTTTTTTTTTTTTTTTTTTCAAGGCGAGCATGATAGACTTCAATTTGAACTTTACAAGTATTCACAAATAATAACAAAAAAAAAAAAAAACCAGAATTCACTTTAATGCAAATACTATGTATGTTTATTTTCCCGATATTGCGTTACTGTATATTGATAATTTATTTATTTATAAAACAATGGAATCTGCAATACGAATATTAATATTCATATTCGAGACATAATTCAAGAAGAAATATCGAACGACAAGTATAAAATGAATCAAGTGTCTTCATTTTTATTTTAATAATTTTTCTTTTTAAGATGAAAAAAGCAGATATTCGTTCTATAAGTTTAATCATAATCGATGTCTTCTTCTCTTTTTGAAGCAGACATGCTTCGTGTGGTTCATTGAATCCAAAGGGGAGAAAGACATAGGTAGGAAGCAAAAGGACAATTCGGTTAGTAAGTTAGTGCGAATACCCACAGAGGTCTGAGAAGTAGTCAATAGTTGATTGTACTGAGTGGTAGCTTTGAGTGAGACGCAGCGGTTTCGTAGCTTGACGCAGACCGAGTTTCTAGCTGGTGTTAGACTCACAGCCTTCATGATGCTCTTGTCCCAAGCGATGCTGGCCTCGAGCATATAAAGCGCCATGGCTAGCTGAGCCGATGTGTGAGCACGTGCGGTAGCTTCTCGCCAGTTGTTCAGCCCTCTGGGTGTTGTCTCTTCTTGCGGAATAGGTGCCTGATTACTCTGATCCGAATTGTTCGAGTTGGCGTTGGCAGCGGCTGCCTGTTCTGCCTTCAGTGCCGCCAGATTTGGATCTCCCGTGCTATAATATAATCAAAAAAACATTGACATATAATAATTTTCTTGTCTTTCGTTTATTGAAAAAAAAAGAAAAAAAGAAAAAAAAAACAGAAAAAAAGAAATCTTTTCGAAATTCTTACCAAACTCCTAATGGTGGTTTCAAGTATCTCCTTTCGATGGCTGCCTCCAAAGAGAGTAACCTTTGCCTTGCCTGTTCAACCGCACTGATCTTCTCCATTTCGTTCAATTTTTCGATTTCATCTGCCTCCTCGGTTCCAGCCCGTGGAGGAAGTTTCCATCCCTTGACCTGCATACTGGCATTGGCTACCTTGTCCTCTAAAGCTTCAACCTGCTCGAGAAGCTGTGCATCGACGCGCAATGCTACTTGCTCGCTCCAATTCTCAGGATGATCCGGTTTCGGAATCGGCGTATCGGGTTCGTCGGGTTCTGGTTGAAGCTCGGTCGCTCCGATATTACCTGGATCAACATTGATCCTACCGGTCACAGCCAAGAACGATTCCATCGTCGCCCAAGTCGTACGTTTCAATTCTTTTTCACGAACGCCACGTGAATGAAGATGTTCTAATAATTCTTGGAACGTGTCAACGTCCGTGATTCTCCACCAACCATACCGTAGGTCTATCAGGGATAAACGTCGATTAGAATGAATGAGATTAATAAAAAAAAAAAAGAAAAAAAGAAAAAAAAGAAAAAAGAAAAAAAGAAAAAAATCATCCTAACGTCTTACCTTTCGATACTGGTTTGGCTTCTCCAGGAGGTGGTAATCCATGTACTTTGAGATATTCGAGCTGCACGGCTTCATCTTGGGTGAGTATCAAAGGCGCAGGACTATCGCATCTGTCGTAATTCGGACTAGCTGGTGGTGGAAAAACTGGTATCCTGAGTTCCGTTGGTTCGGCTATTCCAAATATTTGCTTCGTGCTAGGTCCAGGTGTATCGCAAGTTTCTCGGGGTAAAATCGAGAACCAGTTGGGCTCGGCGTTGTTGTCTGTAATTATCGACATGACTAATATTAATTATTAATTTCGTTAGTACAACTCGACGGGGGTCAATAGGGACTCACTAGAAATGAATGTGCCGTTGAGTTCCTTGCCGTTGTGGAGATTGTTGATGTGATTGAACTTGTCGCCATTTGGTATCGTCTCGACGATCTTATCCTCCATCATCTTGACGACTGGCTTCGGCATTTCCTCGTCCATTTCTTCGTTTTCCTTTTTCGGCTCTTCCATCTTCACGTCGACCTCCATTTTGACAATCTCCGTTTCTTGTTTTATCTCTTCGGAAGTCACGTTGGTCTTCGCATCGGTCATCATGCTGTCACCATCGTGTCTCCTCTCTTCCTTCACGTTATCCGTGTTATCCAAGCCACAATTCTGCACGGGTTCCTTCTTACAATTAATTTCCTCATAGTCGGTTTTTTTATCCTTAGGTTGAGATTTCGTATCCTCCTCATCCTGGTTCACATTCAATTTCTTCTCATCTTTCATAGGTTCGTTCGGTGCTTCGTTCTCTCTATTCTCCGTGTTAGGTTTCCCATCCTCCTGTTTCGTCTCGGTCTTATCCTCAACCGGCATATCTTTGTACTTTTCGTCTAATTCTGCTTGCAATTCCAAGACCTCGGGTTCCGCGCTTTCCATAGCTTCGACGAATATACCACCGGCGCACGCCAATTCCCAGTATCTCCTCCAATACCTGTCCTGTCCAAATATGTGAGCGCGTAATTGCTTAGACGAGCTATTCAATTTCTGCAGCTGTTCCTCCGACTGCTTTAAAAGTTTATCCAACTTTTTGCCGAGTTCCTCGCCCGACAGATTTTTATCCTCCTCCTGAATCAACGAGATATTATGATTCTTTAAAAAGGACTAAAACGAGATGATTCGTCTTATAGGAAAATGAGTGAACCCTTACCTCCTCAGGTTGAGTTCCTTCGCTCTCGTTTTCCGACATATCCTCGACCTCGTCCTCGTGATGAATCTCATCAGGAGTAGGCGTTGTACCTACCGCCGTAGACGTTGTATTACCTTCCTCGTCAACTTCTTTTTTCTCGATGGTGATCGTGTCACCGGTTTTATTCACTATTACACCAACCGCTTCCATTCTCACTTTACGACTATGTAATTGTCTAAGCCTAAAAATAATATACAAAAAGACATATATAATAATCCATGTAATTAAATAAATTTAATTTTGTTCGATAATCGAAACGTATAAATCAAAACTCACTTTCTGATCTTTGTATCCAAAACGAATCTTTCCTTTCTCAACTGAGCCACTGTTTCCAGGCTACCTTCGATTTGCCTAATCACAGCCTTATTTTGCAATAGCTCGTTACAAAGGAACGCTAACATTTGTGCCTTGTGCGTTGGATTAAGTGCAAGGAATGGCTTGTCTCTTAACCTCTCTGACATTTTCCATGTTTCATTATTGTGCAAATGCTCATAGAACTGAGCGTTCTTGCCCGAACATGTCGAGGCATAATCGCCACCGTTCTGATGATGATCGGCAAATCTCTTGTCACGTTCACGTTCCAGGCATACTCCCGTGAGAGCCTTTACCTCACCGGTCGCGTTCGCGTAAAGATAAATTCTTAGAACCTCGCTGATATTAGCATGAGTGATGTCAGCCTGTCTTAAACTTTGTCCAAGGCCAGTAGTATGTCTTGCTGGTTGTGGAATGCCTGGGTCTTCGATAGCGCACACCAAAAGATGTGTCATCACAGAAAGCATTTCCTCCTCGGCCTCTTCGTCGTTCAACAGAGCCAATTGCAGACTCTTTAGACTCGGTAGGGATTCCATGTCTTCAAATGAAATAAAATGTTACATTACATAACATACATACATACACACGCATATATATATATATATATATATATATATATATAATATATATAGATTTTATCTGAGATTTTAATAATTTATCTCACCAAAACCCAAAGTTTCACCAAAATTATGAAGAAACTCAAAGACCATGACTATATCGGCGAAGGCCTGTCCCGATAACTTCAGTCCAGGTATTCTCTTGATTTCTGGCAGAGCTCGGTGATCTGTAATAACATTTGTTATCATTCTCGTTTAACAATAGTACAAATTGTTAGATAACGTAAATTGATTAATTATAAAATACGAAGGTACCTGTCAGTTCCATGTCTTCGACGGGTTTTCTAATCTGTTCTATCAATTCCATCTCAACCTTCCTTTGCTCTGCACGTTTCTCTTTCGTGGCTATTCTCTCGGCTCTTGCCTCCAATCGTTTTTTCTCTCTCTCTTCCATCTTACGACGATTCTCAAGTGCTCTGACCAAAGCCATGTGTTGTCTCCTTCTTTCTCGTTCCTATGATTTCCCGTGATTATAAACAAAAGAAGATAAGGACTTTCTTACACGGAACACGATGAAAAAGAAATAATAAAATGAAAGCAATAATCAATTTTGAAAAAATAATCTTCTCGAAGGGACGAATTTTTTTTTTGTGTATGAATATGCATTTATATGATATATTCGTGTATCCATCTATGTATAAAAAGCATGTACGTATGAATGTATGTTGTATGTATGTATGTATGTATGTATGTATGTATGTATGTATGTATGTATGTATGTATGCATGTAATATTTTGTGTCTCTATGAACTTATATGTGTTTGTATCCATACATACATACACATATATATATATATATATGTGTGTATGTATGTATGTATAAATAATAACATATATTGTATTATCTATTTTATTTAAATCTAAGCACAATTTTGCACGCACGGGCAAATAGCAAAATCTACTACCGCCCCAAATACTTTCACGTGACTACGCAGACTGAATACGATGTATAGTGCCAGATGGATGCAAACTGTAATCACGATATCACTACGTTTACTCGCGTCATGTACTTCGCACAAAATGCTCGTCGTTTCTATCCTTGTTAAATTAAAGGAAAACCGTGCAAACTATACTAAATAAATAAATAAATAAAGAAAGAAATAAATGTATGTATATGTATATATATCGATGAATATCGTATACATAGACATACATACATATATACATATCGTGACGAATCGATATAAAAAAATTTCGACTCCCTTTTTTGATAACAGTATATATGTATATATAAAAATATATATGTAAAATTTGTATTTATTAAAAATGTTATTTCTCAATGTAATTAAAAAAAAAAGCACGAAAAAGTTAATCGCCTTAGCGCAAAGTCATTTAACAAATAAATGATGTAATGAAATATATATATATATATATATATATATATATATATATATATAAATAAATATATATACATATTTATTTATGATAAAAATCTATTGTTTATGAGATAATATATGAAACAAAACGTAACGATGGGGAAAAAAAATAAAAATAAAAAATGACGCGAGTTAAACTTAAAAAAAAAAAAAAAAAAAAAAAAGCAACGATTAAAAAAAAGAAAAACTAGATGAAAATGCGGCAAATCAACTTTCGTGCTTTCGTTTATTATTTCGTTTAAAATATCTTTATAAGTTCAGTTTGTTAGAATATCGTTATATGTATTATAACGTTAGATCGTTTATTAGTTCTGTTAGGCTAGAGGGTATGAGACATACCAGCTCGACGGTGTAGAGCATCTCGCGCTGCTTGGTGAGCTCCTGCATGTACATCTGCGGCACAAAACACATCCACAGTCCACCAGTGCTCAAACTACATGACTACTCTCAAACTAATGATCCTTTCATTTTTTTTCTCTTTTCTTTTTTTTCTTTTCTTCTTTCTTTCTTTGTTTTAATCTTTCTTTTTTTCTTTTCGTCTCTGTCCCCACACCCTCACTCCCCTCCATCTCTCTCTCTCTCTCTTTCTCTCTCGCTCTCTCTCTCTTTCTCTCTCTCTTTTTTCGTACGCGAGGAGATGAGTATCTCTCGATCGTAATTCATCTCACATGCGAAAGGAAATAAAAATAAATGTTACAGCGACATTAGATCAAACGCGTTTTTATATTTTCTTTTTTTTTTTACTTTTTATTCTTTCTTCCTTCCCCCTTTCTTTCCTTTCATTTTTCATTTTAGGATAAATACAACAATGATACGTATAATAATTCAGAAAGAATTTAGAAACGATATATGAAAAATTTTCATTCAAGTCCGATGTTAGTCAACCTATGTGTCCCGTCAAATATCATTTAATTTTATTCAATTAAATGATATTTGATGAAATTAATTTCATCGATAAAAACATAACACCAATACGAAATGACATTTGCGAATAGATATTTTAGTTAGAACGAAAATTAACGTGTCCATGTAAGTTTGTGTGTACGATCGCACTTACGTTGGAATATTTCATTACCCTATATCCATGTATGTACTATATAAAATATACATACGATCAATAAGAGAGAGAGAGAGAGAGAGAGAGAGAGAGAGAGAGAGAGGGAGGGAGAGAGAGAGAGAGAGAGGGAGAGAGAGAGAGAGATAGAGATACAGGTAGATATATAATATGTATATAGATAGATAAATAGAAACACAAAGAGAGAGTGAAAGGGAGAGAGAGAAAGAGAGAGAGATGATCGTTTCGCAAAATCGTTCATTGAAATTATACGAATCGATGAGCGTACGCGCAATATGAGATAGATAGACGGTAATTAAGGCAGTGAATACGAAACACATTACGAACTAAATCTACAAAACACACACCGTACACAGCACACAAACGCACACACGCACGTAACGCACGTACACGCACGTAAATAACGCGCGTACACGCACGTAGACGCATACGTATAAACTAATCTACTCTTCGGCGACACGATCGATACGATCCAAGAAACGATTGAGAAGAATTTCCTTTGAAGAAGAGGAAGAAGAAAAAAAAAAGGAGAAAAAAAAAAGAGTGTAAATAAAAAAATATACAAATAAGAGAGAGAGAGAGAGAGAGAAAAAAAAAGAAAAAAAAAAAAAAAAAAAAAAAAAAAAAAAGGAAGAAGAATCGAGAAAAACTCACCTGCTCCTTGAACATCACCGCCTGTTGCCTCTTCAATTCACGTTCCTGTGAAAATGAATAAATGAACGATAATTAAATCAAATATTAATATAATAAAAACTAAATCGTGAAAGTAAAAGAGAGACGAGAGAGACAGACAGACAGACAGAGAGAGAGAAAGAGAGAGAGAGAGAGAGAGAGAGAGGGAGAGAAAGAGTGAGAGAAAATTCCAATGGAAAATTTCATTATCCTTTCTCGTTTGTTTTTTTCCATCCTCTCTCTCCCTCCTATCCTCCCGCCCTCTTCCTCACTCCCACTCTTTTTTTCCGTCTGTTCTATTTTTTTTTTTTTTTTTGTTTCTGTTATCCTAAAAACGCTCTATATGGAATTACCTGTTGCTTTCGTTGTTGCTCTTCCAGTCGGATCTTCTCCACCTCTTCCTGCCGTTTTTTCCGCGCCTGCGCACAACGCCACACACACGTCACTCGTATCCATAATAATTTGGAATTTTTTGTTTTGTTTTTTAATTTTTGGTTTTCTTTTTTTGTTTTGTTTTGTTTTGTTTTGTTTTGTTTTTTTTTTTTGTTTTGTTTCGTTTTGCTTTGTCTTTCGTAATTTTTCTTTTTCTTTTCTCGTGTAAGATACAGAAGAAGACCTAATACTGAAAAGAATTTCTTTCGTTTTCTATTTTTTATTTCTTTTTTCTTTTTTTCATTATTCTTTTTAGTCGAGAAAATTTCTAATCGCGATTAAATTTCTTTGTTTTCTTTTTTTCCTTCTTCTTTCTTTTTTTTTTTTTTTTTTTTTTTTTAAATTCATCGCTCTCGTCTCTACCGATGCCGAATCGTACCGAAATTCTTCACGCCTTTTTTTTCTCTTTCTTTTCATATTATTTTCCCTTAAAATTTTTAATCGCGCGAATCGAAGATTAATGTGTCTAAAAAGCGTTCGCGATTACTACAAAACACGAGATTAAAGAGTTATTACTAAGCATCTAACAAATCCGATCGTTCGATCCCACATACAATTATCTTTACCATTGTAATCATCATCATCGTCATCATCATCATCATCATCATCATCATCATCATCATCATCATCATCATCATCATCATTTGAACCGTGCCTCGAGAATGTATTAAATACGACGGACTCGTATCTTCGGACGTAGCTGAGAGACACTCCAACCGCTCTGGGGATCAGCTGTTTTCCTTATCGCGAATACATTCGATAGCCGTTTATATATGTATGTATGCATGTACGTATTATATACACGAGATATATCGCGATGAATTTAAAAGTAAATAAGTAAATAAATAAATAAATGAATAAATAAATAAATAAATAAATAAATAAATAAATAAATAAATAAGTAACGAGAGAACAATTTCGTGCGTAAAGATTTTGTAGGATTTGGCGAAGGCATGCGATCGTAAAAGACGATGATCGAAGGATCAGTTTCTTTCTTTTTTTTTTTTTTTTTTTTTTTTTTTTTTCTTTCTTTCTTGAAATCTCGAAATCGGCGATAACCAATTGGAAAACGCAAAGATAATTTTTTTCGATTTTCCTTTGCGAAAAATACGAATGTGTCTCTTTGCGAGATCTCTATTGGCGTAGTATCAAAGGCACGATTAATGAAGAAAAAAAAAAAAAAGAAAAAAAGAAAGAAGGATTAGTATATATATATATATATATATATATATATATATATATATATATATATATATATATATAAAAAGGAATAAATTACAAAAATAAATACACAAAAATAAACGTACAAAAATAAATATACAAGAATAAATGAACAAATAATTAAATGAATAAAGAAAGAAAAAAAAACCAGAAGAAGAAGAAGAAGAATATATAACGGGCCACACGAAAGTAGTACTACAAAATACAAAGAGGTTTTAATTATCATGTAAACCAACACCACTTTACACGGAGAGAGAGAGAGAGAGAGAGAGAGAGAGAGAGAGAGAGAGAGAGAGAGAAGAGAGAGAGAGAAAGAGAAAGGAAAAAGAGAAAGAGAGAGAAAGAGAGAGAAAGAATAAAGAGAACGAAGAAAAAAAATAAAATAGTAAAAGAATAGAATTAGAATAGAAGAATAAGAATAGGAACAAGAGGTAGAAAAGAAGATAGTGAAATTTCAGCGCGCATGCAGGGGCCAAGCAAATACTCGCCTAACTATACACATTAATATAATAATTGGTGTTTTATATATATATATATATATTTATTTATTTAACATTTTATATATATGTATATATATATATATATGTATATATATAATACGCTACCGCTGAAAGCTTCATAAATATACACGGTATTAAATCGAATAATAGATAAAAATACGAGGAACATCATCAGAGAAGATAATATATAATAGTGATATAAAAATGTGTAATAATATAATATATGTAAATAGAAACGTACGTGAAAACGAACAATCGTATATACGAATATTATATTATAACATATCCACCCCGAAAAGATATAGACAAAGACAAAGAGAGATAGATAGGTAGAGATAAAGATAGAGAGAAAGAGAGAAAGATAGAGATAGAGAGAGAGAGAGAGAGAAACAAGAGAAAGAGAAAAAAAGAGAAAGAGAGAGAGAGAAAGAGAAAGAAAGAAAGAGAGAGAGAAAGAGAGAGTGTGCTCGTCGGCTTCTCAAAAATATGAGAAGAAAGGAGAGAAGCTTACTATTTGTACTATTATTAATATTATTATTATTATTATTATTGATTATTGATTATTATTATTATTATTATTATTATTATTATTATTATTATTATTATTATGATTATTGTTATAATTATTATTATTATATTATTATTAAAATTATTATTATTATTATTATTATTATTATTATTACGATTAATAATACTATGATTAATTTTACTTTTTTGAAACACAGCCTACTCTCCGATATATAAGTAGTATACGTGTTTTCGTTGTATAGAACAGGTAAAAAACTCGAAAAAACATGGCATGCTGGATAATTCATGTAGCTAGCTGTTATTTTTCATAGTGACAGGAGAAGCTAGGCACAGGATAGCGTTTGCGACAGTCGATATACATATATATGTATTATGTGTATATATATTTATATTTATATATATATATATATATATATATATCACTTATTATTGAAAAGAAAAAATAAATAACATACATATATATATTTATACATTTTTTTTTTATATAAATATATATATACTCAATTAATTTTTTTTTCTCTCATACATTATCGTACGCATCGTGCCTACGTATTATCGCCAGCGTTTAATTTTATCTAATTTTTACATTTCTTTCCTTTTTTTTTTTTTTTTTTTTAGTTATACTTTCTTTTTTCTTTCCTTTTATTTATTTATTTTTTTTCTTCTTTCTTTCTTGTTCTTTCCTTATTTTTTTTTACGTTCCTCGCGATTACGACGTGTGTTTTACAACGACGATGATTTCCACTCCCCCCCACCCCCTTTTTTCTTTCTTTTCTCTTTCTTTTTTTTTTCTTCTTCTTCAAACACTTACAGGTATTTACGTCGTGCGAGTCTCATTTTATGCATGGATGACACTTGTGATGTCCGAACAAGAAAATCGACTTTAGTCAAGACTCAGTTTCACGAGATATCTCCAGCCTGAACGTGATTTTCAATGACAAGAAATCGATAAGAAGTTAAATTGAACGATCGATCGATTTTTGTTCTTTTTCCTTTTTCCCTTTTTTTTTTTTTTCTTTTTCTTTTTCATTTTATCTCGATCTTATTTTCCACAGTATCGTGAGGTTGTCGCAAATGATCGATAATACGATTTTTCAAAGTGCAAACTTACTAAAGTCGATCTGAAATTAAAATGAATTTGTAAGGGAACTCGCACGATGTAATATACCGTTTAATAATGATCATCATCGTTGTTCCTAAACGATTTGACAAAATTTATCAAAACAATCACGTTATACACATAAAGTTTATGTGTATGCGCGTGTATACTTGGGGCATCGTGTATATGTCCTGCAATATTTTTTTTCCTTTTCAATTCTTTTTATTATTTCTTTTTTTCTTTTTTTCTTACGTTCCTCTCCGTTTGACGGATGGACGATATGAGAATATTAAAAATTATCCTAAAGACTTGATTATTTCGTTTGATTTGAAAGTTGAATGATATCATCGAGATAAAAACAAAAGTACGATGAACGAACGTGCATGCAACTATATGACGCGAATTTTTCGCTCGTATTCCACTATTAAAATATATGCATGTATTAAGAAGAAACAATAATTTAAAGGGGGGGTGGGGGTGGGGTTAAAATAAAAGAAAAATAAAAAAAACAGAAAGAAAGAGAAAAAAGAAAGAAAAAAATGATAGCATTTATATATATATATATATATATATATATATATATATATATATATATATATATATATAAAACAAAAACAAAAAAAAAAAAAACAAAAAAAAAGAATCGGAAAAAAATCACAAAAACAATAAGAAAAGATTTGTGTAATATCGACATTACGCGATCGTGAATCCTTAAAAACTATTTGAAACATAAATGAAGCTGATACGTGCAAACAGATTTAGCTTAGCGTTCAACAGTACCGATCTCCTTGACAAGAACAAGATCGAGATCAAGAAGAGAAAGAGAGATCGATCGATCATAAATTTGTTTACCTTTCAATTGAGTAATCTTCTCTATTTTTTTTTATCTATTTCTCTACACATATATTTCTATCTCTATCTATCTCTCTCTCTCTTTCTCTCTCTCTCTCTCTTACTTTTTTTTCCCTCTTTTTCCGGTACTTTCGACGCTCTCGAGCTCTCGAGCCACACTCGTTCGCGAACTCTCGAGCATCGTTGTCTCCTTCATTCGTGGATTGAAAAAATCACGAGAACATTTAGGATTAGATAAGAGGAGAGAGAGTTCTACGGGGTGATGGCGGTGGTAGTGACGGTGGTGGTGATAGTGGTGGTGGTGGTGGTGGTGGTAGTGGTAGTGATGGTGAGGTTTTAGGTCAGGAATGGGTGGGTGTGGGTGTTGGTGGGGCGGGGGGGGGGGGTAAGGGATACCGAGATTTAGGATGGAAGAGCCTAAAAAAAAACCTACACTTTTCTCGTCCAAACACGGAAACTAACCTACCATTTCTTTATTTTTTTTTATTTTTTATTGATTGTTTTATTTTATTTTTTTTTTATTTTATTTTTTTCTTTAATCTTCACAACGAACAAACGAACGAACGAACGAACGAACGAACGAACGACGAACGAACGACGAACGAACGAACGAACGAACGAACGAACGAACGAACGAACGAACGAACGAACGAACGAACGAACGAACGAACGAACAAACGAATCACGTCAATAATTTATCGACCTCGTCGATAGGGATATGAAAGACGTAGAGATACCACTGGGGATGCAGTAATCAAGGTCTCTTACCTCTTAGTAACACGTCGAACGAAAGAAGGGTGGTTAGAAAGGATGGATGAATGAATGAATGGACGGACGGATGGATGGATGGATGGATGGATGGATGGATGGATGGATGAAAGGAAGGAAGATTGGTGGTGATGATGATGATGAAGAAAGATAGATAGACAGATAGATAAAAGAGAACGGTGGACATAGGAGGATTAACGGAAGGAAAGATTTAAGGGGGTTTAGGGGGGATCGTCTCATACGACATCTTACCTCCAGAAGTTCCTGACCACTTTGCGTCTGGGTCTGGGCCTGCTGGGTATTGTCCGGTTGAACGGCGATCGTCGCGGTACCGGTGGACGTCGAGGAGGGTGGCGTCGTCGGTTGGACGGCCTGTTGTTGTTGTTGTTGTTGTTGTTGTTGTTGTTGTTGTTGTTGATGTAGTAGTAGTTGTTGGTGTTGTTGTTGTTGTTGTTGTTGCGAGGTGGACGAGATGGAACAAATAGACGAGGAGGAGGAGGTAGAAGAAGAAGAAGATGAAGAAGAAGAGGAGGAGGTCGATGGGAGAGCCGTGAGTGTTGCGATGGCTGCTGCTGCTGCGGCTGCGTTTGAGGCGGCGTTGATGACTGCGTTGGCAGCATTCACAGGGTTGTTGGCGGTCAGCTGGAGTGCCGTAGCCGAGGGTAGGAGGGAATTTACTTGAGGAGCCGTCGCGACGACGGTGGCGGTCGGTGGTGCCCCGCCTAACATGATCGTAGCATGATTGATGTTACTGCTGCTACTGCTGCTACTGCTATTGTTGTTATTATTGTTGTTATTGTTATTGCTGTTGTTATTATTGTTATTGTTGTTGTTGTTATTGCTGTTGTTGTTGTTGTTGCTCATCATCGTCGCTGTATTAGTTGAGATATTCGTCGAATTGCTCGTAGACGTCAACATGAGAGGCGTAGTTGGAGAGATAGCGCTCGAATTATTAGTCGAACCGACGATGCACGTCGTCGGTACGACGTTCATCGTCGTCGTCGTCGTTACCGGTAGGACGTTCAAATTCGATATACTCGAGTTCGTCAACGGGGACGTACCCGAGCAAAGGCTCAAAGCGACCGGAGATACGGAAGATAGCGTTTGCTTCTTCAATAGTATAGCTTCTTCCTGATCTATTACTTGTTGTTGATGATGGAGCTGATGATGATGCTGTTGATGCTGTTGTTGTTGTTGTTGTTGCTGTTGTTGTTGCTGTTGTTGTTGCTGCTGTTGCATCATGTCACGATTTCTCCAGCTCTCGGCGATGCTCTCACGATTTTTCCAGATCGTCGCGACGGTGCTACTAGCCAGACCTAGTTCTCTCGCAACGTCGCTCTTGCTCTTCCCACGCTCGATCTCTTGGATGATCTTCATTTTCTGCTTGATCGTGAACGCGAGCCTCTTTCGACCCTGCGTTTTCGTTTTCGTTCACGTTTCAGGTATGCCCAAAATAATCGATCGCGTTAATCGACGATACCTCACGAACTCGTCCCAGCTTCGACGGCCATCGGCGTCGTTTATCGCTGGGCACACGAGCGTGCGAGTTTCGTTCTATCTTTTTTTTCTTTCCGTTCTTTTTTTTTTTTTTCTTTTTTTTTTTTTTTTTTTTAAACTATTATCTTTTCTCGTAAATTGCGGGGGAGGGGCGGCGGGGATGGTGGAAAACTCTTTAGAAACGGTCACGTTCGATGTTGTTCATGCGATGGCTTGCCCGTCCTACTTCCTCGCACGTACGGTGAACTTATCATCGATGAGACGAAATAATCTTTTCTAATACTATTTTTTTACGTTTATAAAAAGGAAAAGAGCTTCCGAATCTAATGAAATGAAACGATCGTTCGCGTAAATTTATTCCTCAGCGATTCGAGTCCACTTTACGGCGATTCGTGTAACCAGGGTGGACGATATTTGACAAGAAGAAAAAAAAAAGAAAAAGAAAAAAAAAAAAGAAAAAAGGAAAGAAAACAAGAAGGAAAAAAAAGAAAAACAGAAAGAAAGAAAGAAGGAAAAAAGAAGGAAAAAAAGAAAAAAAAAAAAATAAATTCTCTAAAGTCATCGAGATAATCGTAATCGATACTCCCTTTAACATTTAATTTTGTCGTCCACCATGGCTTTGACGCGCGTGCCAAAATCAAAGACGTCTCTCTAACAAACGACGCAGCCATATGCAACTATAGGCAACAACATTTTCACAGCTACGGGTTGGTAGCAAACTTCTCGTAATATGCATGTACATAATATAAATAGATATCTATATGACGATAGATCTATATACGTATAGATCTATATATATATATATATATATATATATATATATATATATATATAATGTACATACACTAATGCATATATTAGTTCGATCATTTTCAATCACGATCATCCGACAACAAAGTATCACGAGGCAAACTCTGGTTAAACGGGGACTTTGTTAATGGAGATCAAACGTATCAGCTTGCGGTTAAAATGTTAAATTCATAGGCAAAAGGGATGAATCTCGGTGTTTCCTGATTTTGATATTATAGAACCGAGAAAGGAAATTAGAGAGAATCGATTAGGATCGATTATATAAACGATAATGGGCACCCCTACTCCGTTACATTCAGCTAATTATCAAATCTGACGTAGCTAACTTTGATCACTTTTATCGGCGTTTCTTTTCCTCTTTTCTTCTCGTCTTTGTTTTTTTATTTTTTTATATATATATTCTTTTTTTACTTTTTTTATTTTATATATATATATATATATGTACATATGTATATATGTATAGGTATAGTTCTCTAATGTTTTTTTTTCTTTTTTTTTTTTTTTTTTTTTTTTTTTTATTGGTTTGTTCGTTAAATACTTTCTTTCTTTCATTCTCTTTTTTTGTTTTTGTTTTTCTTTTCTCTCTCTGTTGCCTTGCATGGTCTACGTGTGTGGTATACGTGTGAGGAGACGGTGAATTGTACAGTGAGTGTGAATGTGGATATGCGTGTGTGAATGCTTCTTGGGGGTAGGTGTTTAATGAACTAATGAGAGTAACAGTGAGTGGGGGAGAGGGGGGAGGGAAGATTCGGCGACGTTAGCGGCGTTGGAAATAAGGAAAGAGGATGTAATATCTCGCTTGCGTTTTACAAGAGCATCGATCGGTGATTTTTGGGATGGCTATCGCGAGTGGATTTTTTGTCCTTTTACTTTTTTTTTTTTTTTGTTTAGTTTTTATTTGTTTTGGCTTTTCTTTTTCTTTTTCCTTTGCTTTTTTTTTGTTTTTGTTTCTTTTTTTTTTTATTTATTTTTTTTTTGTAAACTCTTAACACCTCTACATTCGCGCATCTATTACTTTGTAACTTTTCGGCAAACTTGCGCAGAAAACCCTTGATCTAATATGAACAATGCCATGAACGATATTCTTTCGTAGGAATTTGTTCATTTTTTTTTTTTTTTTAAGAGAGAAGATAAGAAAAAAAAAGAAACAAAAAAAAGAAAAAAGAAGAAGCAAGAAACCCCGCTTAAAAAATAATTCATCCTAATGTTATTTTCTGCACAGGGTAATCATCAGTTTTATTTTATCTTTGATATTGCTAATGCTCCGACGGATTGAATCTTTTCTTATTTCTTTAAATACCGATATAATAGTCGAACTACCTGTATATATATCGATCATTTCTAATAAAGAGTGATATTTTTCAAACGATCGGAGCAAGCGCGACCAAAGATAAATATATATATATATGTATTTATATATATATATATAAATACATATATGTATTTCTATGTATGTATATATAAATATATATATGTATATATATATATATATACATATATATATATACATATACATATCGAACTTTTTATTCGAGGATTGAAATGTCGATGGCAAACTGACCGGCCCTTTTGGCAATGCCGAACGACACTTCGAAATGCATGAGGATTTTCGCTTGTTGTTGACGCCACTTAATCGAACTACTCTTTATAAAATTCATCTATGAAAAATAAATATCCGTGAAAAGCGTCTCATTTATAAGATATCTACAGCGTACAGAAGAAGCACGAGATTGAAGAGGGGTTTGAGAAAGGGCTTGGGGGTGGGGGGCGTGGCAAAGGGGGTTGGGTTGGGGGTTGAGGGCAAGGGCTGGCGGGGGGCGGGGCGCGGGGGATGCGTGTATCTTAATTCAAGACGTACGAAGGGACCATACGTCGAGGATTTAATTTCGACGCAACCCCGTCCTATGTATGTATGTATGTATAATATATATATATATATACGTATATCTATTAAATCTTTCGAGAAACTTAAAATTATGGAGACTTTGTTTCTTTTCTTTTTTTCTTCTTTTTTTTTTTTTTCTTTTCTCTCTCTCTTTATTCTTTGCGTATCCGACATCGACATCTTTACCTTCGACATCTCCGATATATATAACAAAAAGAGAAAAAAAAAAAAAGAAAAAAAAAAAAAAAAAAAAAAGAAAAAAAATTAAAAACGAACAACGGGAGTTGCTCTCTCACGAAAAAATTTCATTCAATTTCACTCTTCTTGAAATATTAATCGAGTAGAGAAAGATATGTGGAGAGAGAGATAGAAAATGAGAGAGAATGAGAGAGAATGAGAGAGAATGAGAGAGAGAGAGAGAGAGAGAGAGAGAGAGAGAGAGAGAGAGAGAGAGAGAGAGAGAGTGAGAGAGAAAGAGAGAGAGAGAGAGAAAGATAGAATTGTAAAGATATCGAAATCAGTATCACATATACGTGTCTCCACTTTCATATTTCTCTATAAAAGCTGCACGGTTCGTCTTAATATATAAAACCAATGAATCCAGTCGATTCGCTCGGCCACGTCGATTTTTGCCGAGCGAAGGACGGAAATAAGCGAGATGCAGCACACATGATTTTCGTTTAACACGACTAAACGTTCGAGACTAACAACGAATTAAGGGAAAAAAAAAAAAAAAAAAAAAAAAAAAAAAAAAGAATGAAATCAGACAAATAAAACGATAAAATCGAGTTTAGAGGAGAGGAAGGCATGCTGGATTCTCCTGTCACTATTGCTAGCGATTTTTGGTACTGGCTGTGGATATAATTTTTTCGTGTATATTATCCTTTTTTCTTTTTTCTTTTTTCTTTTTTTCTTTTATCTTTTTCTTTTCTTTTTTCTCTTTTTATTATTATTAATATTATTATTATTTAGGAAAGACGACGGAATATTCTAGAGGGTTGATCGAAGAAAGGGGGTTTTTTTGGGGTGGTCGTTCGTGGTGGTGGTGGTGGTGGTGGTAGTGGTGGTAGTGGTGGTGGTGGTGGCAGCGGCGGTGGTTATAGTAAGAAGGGGGGGCAAGGGGATATATGCGAGTATAAAAGAGTCTCCTTAAAGAAGAATATCCATTTAAGGAAATCGTATATATATATAAATAGAGTATATATATGTGTATATATATATATCTACATATATATAAATATATATAGATATATTTATAAATGGTGTATATATATATATAAATATGGAACACACAAAGAGCATGCGACACGCACGACATATGGACAAAATACAAAAAACGTAGGTATCCCAAATAGAGTAAGAGAACAGTTTTTTGTGAATGAAACAACAAGATCGAGACAAACGTGAAAGAAACTCGAAAGTAAATCAGTAGCAGTTTGTGACTTACCTCGAGTAGCTGTTGATTTCTAATCTCTCGTTCTCGCCTCACCGCCTCTTGCCGTTCCGTCTTCTCTTGTTCCTTGATGAGCCTGTTACGATATACGACGTTATATAAATCATGATTCATATAGAGATTTTAACATAACGACGATTCATGAAGTGAAATTATTAAAACGACATAGGTAGGGTAAAGTCGATTGAGTTTTTCGTCACACCTGGCCTGCTCTTTGTGCCGTTGTGCCTCCTCCTTAGCGAGTTTCTTCGCATATGCCAGCTTGTCTCTCTCGTATTGATTGTTAGTTCGTATGTCCCTGAAACCACCGGCAGCTCTGAGCTCTTCGAGACGTCTCGCTACCTCTTGAGCACCGAGCCTTACGAACTCTGCCTCGGCCAAACCCATCGTCGGTTGGAGAAACTCACCGACCAATGGACGGGACGAGAACGAAAAGTTCGCTGTCGTAAGCTCGGCGGGATTCTGTTGTTCCAAAAACTGGAAACATCCAATTAATATCGTAAATATACGACCGATATATTTATTTATTTATATCGTTAAACTTTCACATGATTTTTCCTCTACATTTCAATCAATCAATCTCTTTGACAAATATAATTTTTATAAATTTCGACTTACCTTCACTAGATCGGGACTGCATCTAAACGTTTTACCACAGGGACTGTAATAGGACACATCGCCCTTAATAACTCCAGTCTTTCCTAGTCCCTTGATAACAGTCTCTCGTTTCCAACCACGTTCCAAGGGCATCTGCAGATCCCTTTCGCTTGGCTTTAGCTTTCTTCTCTTTGCACTGGGCGTACCCTCGGCATTATCGTCGTCTGTGTCGGTGACGACGTCGGTGTTGCTACCGCTTTCACTGGTAACGTCCATATTGCTTTCCTCGCCCGACGCCTCCAGCAATTTGTTCTTCATCTTCTCCTGTAAAGATCGCTATATAGGGAGCATGATTTTAGTGCGAAATCAAAAGTGAAAAGAAACTAAAGATCCCGTTGATCCAGCCTAGAGAGTAGCGTTGGCTCTTCTGATGGACATGAAGTTGTTTTTTTTCTTCTCTTTCTTTTCTTTTTTTTGTTTTCTTTTTTGTTTCTTTTCTTTTTTTTTCTTTTCTTTTTTTTTTTTACGATAAAAACTCAAATAACAATGAACTTAACGTGGGAAATGAAAATCGAGATTCAACAAAAAAAAGAAAAAAAAAAAAACAAAAAAAAAGAAAAAACAAAAGTCACAAACGAAAGAAGAAGAAAAGAAAAGAGAAATGCAATTGGAACGCATCGATTTTTACCTGATTCTTGTCGTCAACCTGGCCCGTTGCCGAGGCATGCAATTGTGCAGCAAGAATGTTCGACCTCAACAACGAGACCTGGTGTGACAATGGCACGCTAGGATCCAACGTTGGCGTGGGCTTTATGCCCAATGCTCTGCTCTGTGCGAGCAAAGACGCGACAGTGTTCTTCTTCGGCTTTGAGACGCCTCGACCAAGATTACGAGGACGACCATCTTTGTGATGGGTCGTACTGGCACTCTCGCTTTCCTCGCTACCGCTGCTCGGCCTCTGCGGCGAATCCGCAGCGGCAAATAATTGTGCCAATGAGGGACTAGGCGAGGCAGGGACCGGTACCGAGTTTTGCGGCACTCTTCTCGGCTTTGGTCCGGGTTTTCGTCTCGCTAATTAATTAATAATCATAGATTGGCAATAGAGTTGAAAAATAATTATTACCAATAAGTTAAAGTCTAATTATTACAGAAAGGATCGAAGAAAAATAATTATTATAATATTATGATAATACGATTGTGATAATGTATGGTCGATACTCACACGTCCGATCAGAGGCAAGCAACGATTGGCTCAAATTGCTGAGCTGACTGAGCGGCTGACTGCCGGAAATCGGCGAGCTACTACTCGTCGTAGCAGGTTTAAGGGATAAATTTAATGGAGCATCGGAGTCATTTGAGTTGGTTGCGTTGTTGCCACCACTGGTATACGCCGACGGTGCTGGCAATACGGAGCCATTGGTTGAGTGGGCCGGTAATTTGATCACCTCCACGCGATCTACGGACTCTCGATACTCGTTCGACTCGGTCTACAATCAAATCGGACGTTTTCGTGTCTTCTGACCAGAAATTCACTTTACGGATTGATCGAATTTCATAAAAGAGAAAACATAAAAAAAAGGAGAAAGAGAGAGGGAGGGAGAGAGAGAGAGAGAGAGAGAGAGAGAACAGAAAACAAGAAAGAGAAAGAAAAGGAGGAGAAGAAGAAGGAAGAAAAGAGAGATGGAAACTTACCCCTGTACGACTGTACTTTCTTGGCTCCATCATCAAGGACGACGAGGTTGTGTTCGTCTGATGAGCACTCAACGTAGGTATCGCCGGTGGATGAACACTGACACTCGGTGTATCCAAAGAGATCGTCTTCTTCCTGCCACGATTCGTCGTACCAGGAACTTTTGGACCGACTATACTCGAGGTATACTTTATGATCTCCGTGTCAGGAGGCAAACGCACACCTCCCAATATACTGCTAGGATCGCTAAACAAATAAAACAACATTCATATAATAAGCGACCAAGGAACGTTTCCCCTTTTATTTAAATATACATTTATGCTTGGCACGTGTGTGAAAAATTGAAATCATTTTAAGAAATCGAGATCGTAATAATCCTCACCTTCCTTCCTTCGCAGAGCTGCTGTAATCGCAGCGAAGCGTGAAAGAAAATCAGGAAATATTATTCTAAGCGTTTCACTTATCTATTATCTATTTCTTTCTTTTTTCGTTTTCTTTTCTATCTTACGATCTCTTTCGTCCTAACGTTTTCTCTTTCTTTTGTTTACTTTTCTTTTTCTCCTTTTGTTTCTCTTATCGTATTGTGTTATGAATGTTTCAAATGGGCCCAAAAAAAAGAGAAAAAAGAAAAAAGAAAAAAAAGAAAAGAGAAAAGAAGAAAACAAAAAACGGAAAAAAAAGAAAAGAAAAAGGAAAAATTAATGGAACACACGTGTGAAGGGTCAATCGATTTACCTGACAACGTTCGTTTGCGAATTTGGCGTGCTGCTTGCCGAGGTATTGTGATGCGTTGGTGTTACCGTGGCCTGACTCGACACCGGCAAACTACTGCTCGTCATACTCGGCGTTGTCGAGCTACTGCTGCTCGCCGGTGTCTTGTGACTCTTGCTCGACTTAGCTGTAATTATCATTCGATGAACAAATCGTTAGTTTAAATATTACATAATAAAGTGTACATCTACTGTAAATTATCAATTAAGTTATCGACCATTATATATCATCATAGGTATCGTCTTAGCAAAGTAGATTCTCTCTTGTTTGTTTTACTTACACTTGGTAGACTTGTGGGACGAAAGGGATGGGGGATTCAACAGAGAAGCAGGGTAAGGCGGTAAAAGACTCTCCGCGCCAGGTGGAAAACCTGGGAGTCCTGTCGCACCCTGCAATCTCGCGAGGTAGTCCTGTGCCGCTAAATGTGAGGCCATTGTCCACCATGCCGCACTAGCAGGAGTTATACCTGAAAAATATATTCCACGAACTTCTACCTATCTCCGTAGCTTCCTATCTTCTTTGGATATTTTCAATATTATAATTATAATTATCTCTTTAACATATTCTCGGCTAACTTTGACGTTCACTTTTTTTTTCTGTTTTCGTTTCTTTCTCATTCTTCTAAATAAAAATCTCACGTCAGTGGTGATCTCATAAAGCGAAGGTTTATCATAGTTTTATCTTTTAAAGTACGCTAACGTTACTAATTCTTTTTTTTTCACTTTTATCAATGAAACTTCGAGAAAATATAGAAAAGTGTAAAAATAATTTCGTTGATTATAAAAAAAGCCTTAATAAGTTGTTGACGAGCTTGAAAAGGGAAGAAAAAAGAGAAAGAGAGAAAATCTATTTACCCAGACTCGCAGCTTGACTGGCAGCCACACTGAGAGTACCGAGACTACTGTGCGAGTATGGGGGTGGTGGTGGTGCGGATGCCGGTGTGTGACCCCCAAAACCAGGCGCTGAACCCCCACGGCCAAGAATGGCATAAGCCGACGGTAAGTGATGTGCCCCCAATCCGTAGCCTCCAGGCATCCCGCCGAAAAGAGATGAAGCTGCGCTATCTCCTCGTGGCCAGTACGCTGAAAACACCATATCAAATGCTGCCTCTTTTAACAATTAACCAAATGCGACAACAACAACATCTTCTCTTTCATACATCTTTCTCTTAGCCATCAAAAAAAAAAAAGAAAAAAAAAAAAGATATATATATTCAGTTATTTAAATACAAATACATTGTCTTTCAAAAAAAAAAAAAAAAAATATTCGAAGTAAGATATTTCAAAATGTCATATTACAATCCTTATATCTAAGAGATTGTTTTATTTAAATTCTTTTTTACTTTCTTTCTTTGATAATAACAAACGACAAAAAAATTTCAATTCAATGGCGAATACATATAAATGATTATTAATTCGTGATTACGTATATATATATATTTTTTTTTTCCTCGTTCTTTCTTTCCTTCTTTCTTTTTTATTTCTATTTTCTTTTTTTCTTTTTTTTTTTGTAGTAGAAAAATCGAAATATTCATTCATGGGGTAAACTTGAATCGTAATAGAGAGCGAGAAAGTTCGGCCATTTAATCTTGGTGGTTAACGACGTGCCAGGAACATTGTGTAGACGTAGTTACATGCAACTAGAGAGTCAGCTTGTACGATTTATTGTCAGAGAAGCGGCAGAAATGTACCGTTGATTTTGCTACGAGTACCGTGGCCTTGAGCAAGGCCGTGACATTGAAATCCAAGCGGCGCTTTAATTTATACCGGTCGTTGAACCCCACGGCCGGCTTATAACGACTACTTTGCTCGCCGAGTTACCGCATAATGGCTTCTCTCGCTCGGTTCCACGCGTTGTAAAATCTAGACATAAATTGAATTTTCATTCACCGACTCGAAGTTTTATCGCTCGCCTTTCTTCCGTACGACGTCGACGTCGTTAAAAAGAATAAGAGAGAGAGAGAGAGAGAGAGAGAGAGAGAGAGAGAGAGAGAGAAGAGAGAGAGAGAGAGAGAGAGAGAGAAAAAATATCGACGACAGAGGGGAAAAATTGTTGCAAAGCTTTGCTTCAGAAACTCGGCCAGGAGTCTTCTAAGAGAAGAAACTGAATCGATGTATACATATATATATATATGTGTGTGTGTGTGTATGTGGGGGAGGGAGGGTGTATGTATGTATAATACATATATATATATACACACACACACATGTATAAACTATTCGAATCGAATTTGTTTCCATTACGAGACACGTTAGATCAATTTCAAATATCTCTTCGATTTTCTTCGCTTTTATACACGAATCGTATACATTCTTCTAATAACTATATTGTAACAATCTATTTCTAGATAAAAAAATAAATATTAGGAAGTAAAATGCATTATTTCACGTAAGATTTTTTTCTTACTGGGATGTCTTTAATTTTAATCCATAATCATTAATCTGAAAGACGTTAAAAATATTTTCTACAAAGTCATTTCTATAAATCATCGGAGGACGTTGTGATCGTCGCAATATATAAACTCAACCTATGACCTCTCCCGCCACCCCACCCCCTCCTACCCTTTCCTATTAACCGCGATATTAAACATATCGATTTTAATTTATAATCGTGTCGATCAGATCTCGAGAAAATCATATCTCGAGCTTTCCTCTTTAATTAAAACCCTTTAAAAAGTGATACTACTTTTATTCGAGCCGACATGGGAATTCACTCGCATTAAAAAAAAAAATTTCTACTTCTATGATTATTTCTATCGCGATTTCTAATGAGATCTAATAAATCCTTGATTTCTAATGTTTTTCTTTTCTTTTCTTTTCTCCTTCTTCTTCCTTCGGTGTTATAAAAAATTATGTCAGAAAATTTTTTTCCTTTCGTCGAGTATACGTTCGTGGTGGTAAAAATTATTATCATTATTATTATTATTATTATTATTATTATTATTGTTATTATTATTGTTATTATTATTATTATTATTATTATTATTATTATTATTATTATTATTATTATTATTAATATTATATTATGCATAAAGTGTTGGAGTAAATAAAATGTGAAAGTAGATGAATAGAGGGATGGATTCCTTGAGGATCGTATAAAGGAAGAGGGTAGAAGGATGGAGTACGACGTTTTGTCCCGAAGCTCGATGCGTCACGACGACTATCGATTTATGATTAAGCATTTGGAGAAGGGGAATATATAACGGTTGTGTGTTCGAGTCGAACGTCGTATTATCGACTGGAGCGCGACAGTGCCGCGCCTCACTAATTTCCTGTTTTTCGGACTGCCGTTATTAAAGGATCTTCCTGGTAGGGGCAAAAGCACATTGTTTTCAACGTTAATCGACGTGTTTCTCCCCTCGGGCCCACCCCCCCTATCCTCGAGAAATCCACTAACGACACAGACCGCCAAAATTGTGCGTCCCTTTTCGTCGAGATGGGAGGAGAGAAAAAAAGGAAAAAAAAAAAAAATGACCACCGAACATTTCATTACCTACGTACATTCGAAATAGACCAATATTTTCTTTCTATTTTCCTCAATAATCGTACGATCGGGCCAATCAATTTTATGAATTTTATTAAATTTTAAACGTTACTCTTCATTTTTTCATTTGCATATATATATATATATACACATTCGTATGTGTACGTTGAGTTGTTTCTTTTTTATTTACATAAAAAACAATTGTCAATACATATACCATTGAACTTCTCGTATAAAAAAAAAAAAAAAAAAAAAAGAAAGAGAAAAAAAAAGAAAATCTTTATTTAATTTTTGTTTATCGTGGATATCGTCTCATATTATTCACATTTTTTTATACGCGCATGTGTATACATGCACATACATAAATACAACATACATACATACATATATATATATATATATTAAAGAAAATATTGATAGGTCAGTGAATACTCAAACGACAAGGGAAAAAAGGAAAAAAACAAAAAAGAAAGAAGGAGCACTTAATTTCGGTTCTACGATTTGGCACATTACTCGTGGAGAACCGAAAGTGTTCCATTTGAAGTCCTCGAAACTTCGACGCGGAACAAAGATAAAACGAAGGAAATATTCGTTTTCAATTCCATCGAAGATGGTTCGGTGGATTGGAGTTGGGAAGGGGATAAGAGGAAGGAGGGAGAGGTATGAGAGAGAAAGAGAAAGGGGTGGAGGTACAGTGGAAAGTAAGGAAACGACGGTCTTTCCATTAAATCCTATCTCTCGGGAGGAAAATGACGAGGAAAAAAGAAGAAATGGAAAAGTTTCGTAAGCAAAGGAGGAGATTAAGCTGGCAGCATCGTCGAAAGAGAGAGAGAGAGAAAAAAAAGGAGAAAGGGAAAGAGAGAAAGGGTGGGGGGAGGAGGAGTCCGCTAGCTGAGAAAATGGCCGTGTTATTAAATCGATCGCAGGTCCGGCCCGGCCTGTCGAGGGGAAGCCGGAGCTTGGAGTTGGGCCAGGGGGTTGAGAGAAGCGAGGAGGGTGGAAAATGTATGTATATAGGTATAGAGGGATGACGAGAGTGAGAGAGAGAGAGAGAACGAAACGAACGGAAAGGGAACTGAGAATTACGAGAGTACCTCTTGTTCGACCGCTCTGTCGGAGGATCGAAGCGCACGTATACGCAATTAATAGCACGAGCATGCGGCACGTACGACATTTTTCAAACGCGTTCCTCGCTGTCGCTCCCTCGTGTCCTCGACGCTCGAAAATCCGACTCTCCTCGCTCTTCTTTATCACTCTCGTTCGTTCGTTCGTTCGTTCGTTCATTCGTTCGTTCGTTCGTTATAGTAGGTATAGTACCGTTTTTCCTCTTTCATCGTGTTTTCCTCGTTTCTCATTCCACTCTCTTTTATCGATATTATATAGAATTGGTATATATATGTAGGAAAAGATCTTTCTTCTACTCTTTCCCTTTTCCCATCCTACGTTCAAGAATTGACAATTCATTCTTATTAATTATACAACATTATTATTAATTATTAACGCGATCGAATGGGATCATCGTTCCGGATTGCGTCAAAACTATTGTTATGATATTTACGAGTTTATACATATGCACACGCACGCACACATACATACATACATACATACATACATACATACATACATACATACATACATACATACATATATACATATATATATGATTTTGTTACGAAAAATTATCGAAAAAAAAAAAAAAAAAAAAAAAAGAGTTGTAATTATTCCGATACAATGTTATTACTTTCTAATATTTTCTAACTTCATATAGAATAACAAGAGAAATATGAATAAGAATAAGAATAAGAATAAGAATAAGAGTGGAACACAAGCATAATGTAACCTCCTCTCGAGCGGCTATTTTAGGACTACCGCGAGTCGGTATACACGGCTGGAGTCTTTTCTTTTTTTTTTTTTTTCTTCTTTTTCTCTTTCTTCTTCTTTCTGTCTTTCTTTCATTTCGTTTTGTCTCTTTCTCCTCGTAGAGCCGACCGCGACGAGTGGAACGTGCCGAGAAGAAAATAGCCTGGACCAACGGCGAGAATACGCAACGACTTAGCGAATATCTAGCAAAGAAGAACGTAGGAGAGGAACCCCAACGGGAACCACTCGAAGAAACACCATTCGCGTAAGCATGAAGTAGAACTGTGCCTAGCCGTAGAGACGACGATCGATCGGCTCGTAAACGCGAGAGAACTCGCACCTATGCGATAACAATCTCCTTTTACGTATATGTGTATGTATTGCAGCGGTATATATATATATATATATATATATATATATATATTATATATATACACATATAGTAGGTAGTCCGCTTATCGAAGTGGAAATTTCATGCGAGGATTACTAACGATAAATACGTTATGCGAACTCATCGTCGTTACTCATTGATTCGATCGATCGATCGAACGATCGAAAAAAAATCTCTTTTTATACACCCATAATAATAATAATAATAACAATAATAATAATAATAATAATAATAATAATAATAATAATGATGATGATGATGATGATGATGATGAGGATGATGAAAATATTATTATTTAAATTTATCAACCGACACGCTTGTTTAACGTTCCCGTTATTATCATAAACT